CAGGAAGGCGAGAGAAAGAGTTATTAATTAATATTAGTTCATGCTCACATAAATGCAGTTTATTTTGTGAAAAAGGCAAAACGTTTTCCTGCGTACTGTAATAATAAGAACTTCTATAAACTGACCTATAATGTTCCCACTGCTCCATCGTGCTCTCAAGGATTATAAAAACCCTTAATTGATTTATTTTTAGTGGTTTTCTTGCTCGGTGCAAAATAAATAAAGTGATATGTTCCTTTGATTTATGTGATAAGATAAGCAGGCCTTAATTTCACTCCCTCCAGCGGTGCCACTCTGTGCTATTTATACTTGGGCTGTCTTGAGCCTCAGTTTGGCACTCCTCCGTGCACAGCGGCGTTCCCAGATGAAGGATGGTGCATTATACATGGACGCTGCTAAAACATGTCATAGACGTGGCCTCATTTAGCAACGGGAAAAGAAAAACACCAGAAGCTGCGCCTTCTGTCTCGCCGACATGAACGATGGTCAGCAAGTGTCTTTATTGAGACAGATTGCATTTAGCTACAAAGTTTTAAAACATTTTTATTGAGGTAAGTAGCCAGCGGTCGACTCCGAGACAGAAAACATCGTTACATTTTGAAAGGCGTGATGAGACGTGACACACGGTGCTCACATACATCCAGTTTTGCTCCGACATACGTTTCTCTGTGAACGTATGTTTTATTAAACCATTATCTACAAATAAACACAGGAACCGAGGAGCTTTACAGTGAAGTCGCACTTAAATCATTGTTTGATACAGCAGCTACAACCAGAGATATTTAAAAATCTAATTTCAATTTAGTTAATGACATTAAACAAAGTTCTACTTTTTATTTTTTTACAATAAGGATGAGCTTCTAGGCTTTCACGTGAAATGACAACTTTAAAGTTTTTTTTTTTTTTTTTTTACCCAAATCTGCTCTCTAAAAATTTCAACCATAATTTTGAACAACTGGGGCGCTCTAAATGTAAATAAAAACAGAATGCAATGATTTGCAATTCTCACAAACTCATTGTGTGAATGTCGAAGCATTCTCACTATTGTGATCCATTTTTCTTCCGTACGTTTTTCAGCATTTTTCTTATTCCACAATTTGTGTCGTTTCATCAAATCATGAATCAAAACGTTCGGCTCTTTCAGGACAATCATGCTACGACTTTCGGTATTGGTGCAACTTTAGCTTTTTGGCAATATTAAGTCTTTTCTGCCATTTTTTTCCCTCATAGAAAATGAACCGAGCTCATTTTACCTCCTTAAAATCTTTAGATGTGTTTACAACCTTTTACTGCTCCTTTCACATTTTGTTCTGCTTCAGCTCCTTTCAGCTTCCTCGTGCAAATTTAATTTTTTTCAGCTACTTTCTGTTAATTTTTCAGCTGTTTTAACACCCTTTTAAATTATTTCTGCTAACTTCAAAACTTTTGTGCTTCTTTTAACTTATTTCTGCTAATTTCAGCATATTTCTGCAAGTTTGAGCTTTATCTGCTACTTCAGCTACTATTTAGCTGTTTTATACCAAGTTTAGCTTGTTTGGCTAATTGCACATTTTTTTGCACTAATTTAATTTTTTTTCAGCCTAATTCAGCAAAAACATGCGCTTTCCACTTTTGGTAATTTAAGCTTCTTTCTGCTTTTTTAGCTACTTTTCAGCTGTTTTTTGTTGTTGCTAATTTCGGCTTTTTTCAGATATTTTCCACTTTGTGCTCATTTCTGCTTCAGCTTAATTGGGCAAACATGTTTTTTTTTTTTTGCTTTCTTCTGGTAATTTAAGCTTGTTCTATCTTTTCAGCTACCTTTTTAGCATTTTTAGCCAATTTCAGCTGTTTTCAGATAAATTCAATTTTTTGTCCTAATTTCTGCTACTTTCAACCCAATTAAAGTATGTCTGCTCATTTCAGCTTGTTATGCTCCTTTCAACTTATCCCTGCTACTTTCAATGATTTCAGCTACTATTTAGGCGTTTTATGCTAATTCAAGCTTTTTCAGATAATTCCACATTTTTTGCAATAATTTAAACTTTTCAGTCGAATTTAGCAAAAATGTGCTCCCTCCACTTCCTTCTGGTAATTTGAGCTTCCTTCTGCTGTTTTAGCTACGTTTCAGCTATTTTTTTGTTTGCAATTTCAGCCTCTTTTAGCTAATTTCCTCATTTTTGAGCTCATTTCAGCTTATTTAAACCTAATTCAGCAAATATTCGTTTTTGTCTGCATTATATTGCTAATATAGGCTTGTTCCTCCATTTCAGCTCCATTTCAGAATCTTTTCAAGCTAATTTCAGCTGTTTTTGAGCAAGTTCTTCAGCAATAATCATTCACACTGCATTGTCGCAGGAAATGCAATTTCTCTATAATTTACAATGAAACAAGGTTAACATAAAATGTTTAAATGAAGAATTTGATTTTATGCCAATGATGCATCTCAAAGATATGGATGGGGTCGTGTTTCCAAGCATCTTCTCGTTTTTTTAACAACAGTCTGTAACGGTCTGGGACCTGACAAGATCAACTGTTGCCGTTTTGAGGGGGTTTTGTCTAAAGTTTTGTCTAAATTAGTATTTCTGCTGTTCAACGGACCTTTGTTTACTTTGCTGGATTTCCTGCTGGAAGGGAGAACACAATCGTCTAAAACCCGTTTATATTGTTCTGCACTGATGCTGCTTTTCTTCAGTGTCTGCCCATGCCAGAGGCACTAATGCACCCCCATACAATCAGAGAGGCAAGCTATTGAGCTGTGTGCTGATAACAGGCTGGATGGTGCCTCCCCCCTTTAATACTGAGGATGTGGTTTCCATGAAGAATTTCAGATTCTGTTTTGTCTGATCACACAACAGTTCTCCAGTTTTCCTCAAACAAGTTCAAGATGGCGACATTCATGGATGATGTTCACACATGGTTTCTTCTTTGTATGATAGAGCTTTAAGCAGCATTAGTGGAGGACACAGATTTCCAGACAATGATTTGTGGAAGTGTTCCTGAGCCCTTATCCAGAACCAGACCCGTTTGAATTCAGGGTCACCTGAGGGTGTCCGGTCCTTTCAGTCTTTTATGAACATATTTCTCCTGATTCTTGAAATGTTTGGATGATATTATGAAACGTTAATGGGATTTTTAAAGTATTCCCAATTTTGCATTGACGAGCATTATTCTGGAACTGTTGGAATATTTTTAGATGCAGTTTTTGCAGACTGGTCTAAAATGCTCTTCATACACTCAGTCCTCTTACTGACTTGTTGCAAATGAACATAATTCACTGATAAATCATCCTCCAGCTGTTTCCAGATTATACTACTAACTTTTACAGCTTTTTCTTGCCCCTTTCCCAACTTTTTAGAGATTCTGACATAAAATTTAAAACGTACCTTTTCCTCAAAAATGGTACAATTTCTTAGTTCACATAGCAGATTTGTTAAAATGTTCCATTTATGAATAAAATGTGAGTTTGAGATCATTGCATTGTTTTTATTTATGTTGTACACCCGTTCTTCACGGGGTTTTAGTGAATAAAATGAAAGTATTTCAAAAAGTCCTTCTTTTATTGTTATATTAAATGCTTCAAGTTGTTCCACATGCAATGTGCGCGTGCTTGGATTTTAACACAAGCGTTTATTCGAGATGGAAGGAATTACTGAGCCATAAATGCCTAAACTATCCAAAGTGAAGTGGCGCAGAAGCGAACACGAGCTAAACTGAAGTCACAGCTGACGAGTCGCATCAATAACAGGAGGACGAGAGAGGCCAAACAAGACGACGGCAGGCTGACATTTGATCGAGGAACAACTCGTGCACCCGTGGGTACAACGTTGCCTCGGTGCACGCTGACTCACATCGGTCCAACGCTCGTCTCATCCGTCCCACTGCACCAGTGAAGCTTCTCATGCTCGTCACGGCCAGAAGGATCCTCGTCGAGTTGTTTTTCAGACACTGGCTGCAGTTTATTTCCTGCTGCTTGGAGCTGCGGTGAACTTGGTAAATTGCCCGGCAGCTCTTGCAGCACCCGCTGCGGCTCTCGAGCAGGTCTCGGCAGACACGACGCCGAGCTCCGTGTGCACAGCGAGCTCCTTCACGTGAAAACAGGAGAACAGCTTCTTCCATTTGGAGCATCCACACGAGTCGCCACCTTTTTTTTTTTTATTATTATTTCTTGCTTGGTGCTCTTAACAAGTTCAAACCTCTGGATAAACCGTTTCATTCCTCCTTTGAAATGATAGACGAGACAATCGATGCCATAATCAGCGAGCGTACACGGAGAATTATTTCGAGGCAGCGTCTAAAAATAAAGTTTTTACAAGCAGTTCTTGCAAGTTAAACTTATTAGAGTAAATTTACATGTGAAATGATCAGAGTGAAACCTGTAGAAGTTAAAAGACGCTGAAGCCGTTTTGTGGCGCATTTAAAAATCTTCCACTAAAGAAGTCAGAAAAATACGCGCGTCGTGTGAGAGCCGCAGACGTTTCTTTGAAAATGCATTTTATTTCTGCCATCTTTCAGAGGAGCTTCAAGTCTGATGCAGACATTTAGGAGGATTGGTTTCCTCACATTCTGAGTGGCAGAATAGATTTCCATAGATGGCAGTGGATGTTCTTGGCAAGATTCTCTTGAGACAAAGCTGATATCGGTCCCCGAGGTATAACCCCCCCCCCCTGAAATGAGCAGATGAGACACGCTGAGTGGGCCGAGGCAAGAAAGGGACGCTGACACGAGCATGATGTTCCCAGGATTCAGCCTCCTCCCACGATTGTAGAAGTGTTTTTGATGAAGAAGACTAAATATGACCCAAGCGCACTCACTTGTCCTCCCTTTGTCTAAACAAGGACTTGGTGTCAGAGAATCCGTCCCATCGTAGAAGCAGGACGACTGGAAACCTCTCTCGGTTTTCATCAGAGATGGTGGATTCAGTCGTTCTCCCGTCGGCTTCAAACGTTGAGGCCGTGTTTCCTCGAGATGGGACGGGGTTTGGTGCCGACAGTCTGAAGCTGGGTGTAGAAGTAGAAGGAGGATCATATCTCCTCTATGGAGTCAGCTGGGACCAGGCCTCTCTTCTTTCCGCTGCTCAGTTTCAGGAATTTCTCGCCATCTTCCCGCTTCCCCACGCAAATCTACAGGACGGAGACAGAAAACGAGACCGTTTCTGTTGAATAGAAATATACGGAAAATCCTTTAAGGGTTTATTTTTACGTTAAACTGACAGAGCTGGAAAAACGCATTTCCTGTAAAAGGTACCCCCTGCAAAGTTATGAAGATTAGACCAAACCTTAAAAACTAACAGATGCACATTTTATCTCATATCTATGCGTCCTTAAAATTTTAATTTATAAGCAAAAAGCGGCTTGTGTTTGTTTACCAAGAGAAACATCCAAAGTGAATAAAAAAAAAAGAAGCAAATGTTAAATTTACCTGTGGAGCAGAAGTTTAGTAAAAATGTGCGTTTAAATGTTTAGCTCTGTATTTACAGCTCCGTTTGGTCTTGACAGCCGTCTTCCTCGTTTATTCTCTTTTCTTTTGTGTTTAGCAGTTACCGTAATTTCCGAACTAGAAGCCGCTACTTTTTTCTCAGACTTGAAAGCTTATGGATTTTTATTTTTTTGACGGGCTAACAAGCTTACTGGAGCTAAAACGTTTCGCCTCTTCACGCCCGGGTGCTCACATAGCTGCCCAATACTTGTCTCTCTTGGGGGGGTGAGTCCTCGTGACTCAGTTAGACTACCTGTATAAATAAAGGTTAAAATAATCTGACTAATGAAATTACCAAACAGGTCACAGTTCGTTCTCTCCTCCCCGGCCCTGTGGGAACCCCCCTCGTTTTTTCAACCTTTATTTAAACAGGTAAATCCCATTGAGCCTCGAGGACTCATTTACAAGAGAGACTTCAGTTTAACAAAGAATGATGACAACAGTGGACAATCGTAGAGGACGAATACAAATTGGGATTTTTTTTTATATATAACAAGTGAAAATAAAATGGTATTTAAAAGAAAATGTAACAAAAACGGGTAACGGGTAAGGCGATGTAGAAAACTCGTTGTGCACAACGAAGTATTTTGCAGCCACTCCAAAAAAGTGTGAATCGTAAATCAAATTGAGAACAGGAAGCATGTTGGGTTTATATACGACAAACACAGTCAGCAGTGATTGTTGCTCCTACCTGGGAGTCCCTCACCGCCATGTGACCTCTCTCCCGGTTGCCAGAAACGCCCTGGATGACGCGCCACACCCGCTCTCCTGGCCGAACCCTTTGCACAAAGTTGGCGGGGAAAAAGCCGACTCTGTCTCCACTTTTACCCTGGAGGACGAACGGAAACAAAGCTCGACGTGACAAATCCAGCTGACTGACCTCCCGCTCACAGACAAAACGCTTCAGTGTCAATTTATTTAAATAAATGATGTGCGCTTATACAGCGTCGCTCTATTTTATCAAGACACAACAATCTGTGCCTCATTTACCCATTCATAACACTTTATATCTATATAGAGAATAATCAGAGCTTTATCACATTCATACACTGATGGGACACACATCAGAGGGTTCAGTGTCTTGCCCAGGGACACTTCGGCATGTGGCTGCTGGTGGAATCGAACCCCCAACCCTTGCAATGAACAACGACTGCTCTAACCACTCAGCCACAGCCGCCCATATACAAAGTAAAAAAACAAAAAAAAGCTGAACAAAGTACTTTGCAATTTAGTCAAATTAAAATGAAAACGAGAGCAAAAAACAAAAACTCAGGAAAAACAAAACAAGAAAGACAGGGCGGCTGTGTCTGACTGGTCAGAGCAGTCGTCCTCCATTGAAGGGGTTGGGGGTTCGAGTTCACCAGCAATCACATGCTGAAGTGTCCTTGTGCAAGACACTGAACCCCTCATTGCCTCTGATGTGTCCCATCAGTGTATGAATATGATAAAACTCTGATTATACTTAGTATGGATCTAGTATTGAGTATCTTGATCAGATAGAATGGAACTGTATAAGTACAGTCCATTTACCATTTAATGAAGCACAACACAGTGATAATAAAAATCAACTCTAACTGGTTCTCAGACTCTGCACGGATCAAACTCCAAGGAATAAAGATGAGTCTTGAGCAAAGATTTAAAAGTCTCAACAGTCTGAGCGCTCTTTAAATTATCAGGTAAACTGTTCCACAGTTTTGGAGCAGCAACCACAAAAGCCCGATCACCTCTGGACTTGTTTGGATCTGGGGACAGAAGAGAAACTTGAGGGTAGACCGGAGTGCTCTTAGTGTAGATGTTAATAAGATCACATAAGTAAGACGAGGCCAGACCTTTTAAGACTTTAAAAACAAGCAATAAAATCTTAAAATCAATCCGGAAGTGGACAGGAAGCCAGGACAGGGGTTATGTGTTCATGTATTTTAGTTGCAGTTAAAAGACGAGCTGCTGCGTTCTGGACACATTGTAAGTGAAGCAGAGATGATTTATCTAAACCAACATACAGAGAATAGTCCGAACAAGAGCTAATAAAAGCATGAATCACCTTTTCAAGGTCTCCGAAAGGGAGACAAAATTCACCTTGGCAATGAGGCTTAGATGGAAGAAAGTGGATTTCACAACTGCATTTATCTGTTTAATTTAAAAGCACTATCAAAAATAACCTCCAGATTCCTGACGGTGGAGTGGCTGTATGAAGCCGAGGGGCCAAGAGTGTCAAGAGCATTACATCTACCAAAGCTGACTTCAGTTTTATTTTCATTTAGATTCAGGAAGCTTAGATTTAACCAGACTTTAATGTCGTTTAGACAGTTCAAGAGTGGTTCCAATGTCGTGGCCCTGTCTAAATTAATGGGCAGATACACATGAATATCATCAGCAAAGCAATGAAAAGGGATGTTATGTTTTATAAAAATGGACCCTAAAGGCAACATGAAAAGATTAAAAAGCAGTGGACCGAAAATAGACCCTTGAGGGACCCCACAGATTAAAGGAGCTGCAGATGATGAACATCTAAATGAACCTCCACGCACGTTTCTCTTCAGATTTATTGAAAATGATCTCTCAGTGAAAGGTGTCCGTTTGTTGTGGAGAGGGATGGCTTCGCCTTTCTTTAGCTTATGCTCTGCAGACTGGCTGTCATCACCTGTTCAGTTATTTAGTGGGAGAATAAAGGAGGTTTATTCTTCCAGTCAAAACTCAGCTGGGTGCAGTGATGAATCATCAAGGCTGCAGAGGAAGTGTGTGGATGTGTTTCACAAGCCAAAAAAACAATATAACAAAAGAAGAACTGATTTTTGTCTCATTTGGACTGATGATCACTGATGATGAGTGTTTTGTTTAATGTGGCAGTACATCACCAGCTGCCTCAGGTGTAGACACATTTACTGAAGTCACTCACAAACCATGCATTAGTAATGAACAGATGATTCACAAATTATACATAATTTAAACTTCCTTGGCGTGGACGTGTTGACTGAAGCGTTTAAAAGCCGCTGCATCACTCAAGGATAAGCTTCTCCTGGTGGCGAGCGCAAGGTCGGCTGATAAAACACGTCTGGATGCACCTTGGTCTTGAAACCAAGAAGCACGCCTACACAGACATTCATTTCCATTGGGAGTAAGCAGAGCGCGTTACAGATTCAATAAACACCTTGTTAAGGTTGAAACACCAGCCACGTTCATTATGCTGAACTCTTGGTAATGTTCAGAAGAAATTACGTCTTATTTCTGGAAGAGACTGCCTGCATGCTTAAGAAAAACGAAGCAGGTGTTTCGCACAAAAAGGCTCAATTTGCAAATTTGTGTAACATAATTTTGCACCTTTTCGGATGCTCAAAGCAACAAAACTCAGGTGCACAGCGGCAAACACACATCCTACTGATCTGATACCCACCTTCCACCACTCCTCATTAGAGTCGTCTGTGACCTGAACTCGATCGCCAGGCCTAAAGGAAATAAATAATAATAAAAATAAAAAAGCACACAGGAATAGATGTTAAATAGACGTGTAAATGGGGAGGGGACTGATGTGGAGAAGCAAAGAGAAGAAGGCAAGGAGTGTGACACACGATGAGCAGAAAAGAACGAACAAACACAAAAGATAACATTATTAAAGAAATGTGTTCAACAAAATGGTTCTTCTTCTAGTTATTTAACTGTCAATAATGGTGTACCACAAGGCTCTGTCTTAGGACCCACTCTCTTTACAATCTATATAATGTAGGTCAGAACATTTATGACGCATCCTTGCATTTCTGTGCCGACGATGCAGTTGTTTATTGTCGAGCTAAAACAGTTGCTAAGATTTTTCAACTTTTGCATTCTGCATCGACATCGTTCAGTCAGATTTGTTCCGTCTCAAATTGGTGCTAAATGTTGATAGGGATGTTTTCAAGCAGAAAGTTGGTACTGGCTGGCATTTCTCCTATCTCGTCTACGAATGGAGTTCCTACTGAGTTTGTGGATTCTTAGTTTGGGAATCTTGATCGATGTACATCTGTTTTAAGCCACATGTCAAAAAATTTGATAGACAAAAAATTGGGTTTCTTTTTCAGAAATAGATCTGGTTTAACTCTGAATGCCAGGAAACGTCTTGGAGTTGCTACTTTCCTACCGGTCATTGATTAAGGTGACTTTACATGGATGCCTCTGCCAGCTGCTTACAGATGTTGGATGCTGTCTACCATGGGGCACTAAGGTCCATAACTGGTTGTAACCGTCCCCATCACAGCACTCTGTACTCATTGGTCAGTTGGTCATCTGGTTCATTTTCATCTGTTAATCCCTCCTTGGTCTGCTGCCTTCATACATCTCCTCCCACACGTCACGTCGTCAGTGCAGTTACAGCGTGCGCTCTCAAGCCTCATCTGCAGCGTGCCCTCAGTGCAGAGTGAACTCGGCAAAAAGGCCTTTTTTTACTCCGCTCCCGTTTCCTGGACCAGCTTGCACAAAGATCTGAAGCTGTTGACCTTGATCTCTTTAAGGGATTTTAAACCATCAACGCAGACATGCTCCTGTTCTGAGTCTTTTCCCTTGTTTTATAATGTAGCTTGATTTTATTTTGTTTTATCAAAAGTTTTATTTATTTTATATTTTATATGCATTTTATGGCTGTTTAATGTCGTCTGTACCTCACCAGGGGTTTTGTCGAAAACGGGTCTCTCTTGAAAATGAGTGCTCGTGACTCAGTGACACTAACCTGTTTAAATAAAGGTTGAATGGAAAAAAAAAAATCGAACGAGCACAAAAAGCTGGAGCGCCAGCGGTTACAAAGCTGCAGCAGGTAAATGCGACTCGCAGCCGACACTGAAACTTCTCTACAAACGGGGCTTGATCTTGAGCCGACCCAGCCTGGCCTGCATTCTAATCATGCTACTAGGTTTGGATGAGACTTTTCTCTAAACCCTCACGAACACGCTCTGCCCCAGATACGCTGTCCCAATTGTTCTGTACATCAAATCTCCTGGCTGCCCTGTGTGAGCACAACTCAGAATGTCAACTCTGTAGCTGCAGCTACGTTTCTGATTTAAAGATGGGTTTTTAGAAACATTTTGCAGGACTTATTCTGTCTCTAAAATTTAAATTTTTTAGGTTTCTGCAAGCAATGTTAAAACGTGCTGAACTGTGGGGTGACCCTATACTTTAACTGAATACTTTACACTTTTGAAAATTACTCCACAGTTCGATGGTCGCTCTACATTTACAGCAACTTATGATTTACATATTTAGTCGTCACCGTTTTTCTGACCTACCAATGTCCTTCTGTATTTTTTGTCTATGTGTAGATGTATCCAGGGCATAGATGTAATAAAATATCGGAGAACTTGAGATAAATTTATATAATAAAAAAATAACAGTTAGGATCTGAACATGTCTTAAAGTGATAGTTCAGAACTTTTGATGCAAGTTATATATAATATCTTAGCTGTTGTATATATTTTAAAGATCTCAGATTAAAGAAATTATTATGGTTAGTAGTAGAAATGACCAGAATGACAAGCTAACAGTTAGTCCCAATGAGCCGGAGACCAACGAGGATAAGCTGATGCCATTAAACAACTCGATAAAAAAAAGAATAATTAGATCATGCCAACATATTTTATAAATTTTCACTTAATCATCAATATTAAATCAGCAGAAATATAATATTCCTGCTAGAAATGCCCAGTGCTTTCAGGTCCGTCTTGTAAATGAGTCCCCGAGGCTCAATGGGATTAACCTGAAGAAATAAAGGTTGAATGAATGAACGCTGCACTGGAGTCGATACGTTGTAAATGTAAGTTTCACGGTTCAATTCTGACATCCACAGCTGAAAGTACTTTACTGTAAAATTACTATTTACATTTACATATTCTACAGTTGCATTGTGCTTATATTTACTGAAGGGCTTTTGTTAGATTAATTCTTTTCTGTTGTTCTAAAGTTCATCGAAAATTCACAGTCTGTGTATTTATTTCAAAAATAATTTGCCATTCAACAGTTCCCACCTGTGAGATATATATACATATATATAATAATTATTATTATTTTTAATTAGTCACTATATATTTCAATATTTCAGTTTTTACTATACATATGATACAGCTTCAAGTATTTTACTGTAAAGTTCCCATCCATCCATCCATCCATCCATCCATCATCTTCTGCTTGTTCCCTTTATTACAATGTAGCTGCTGTTTTCAAAAGACTATGGGATTTTATTTAACTACGAACAGCAAAACTAAAATCAAAATAAAGGTAAATGCAACGTTTGCATCAAACTCTATGAACCGTTTGAGTCTTTTCAGACACATGAAGTCCACTTTTACCTTCGCCCTGTTCAAATTAACCAACAGCTCAACGGTGTGATCAGACATTAACTTGATTTCTCTAAACTGGGGTTGTTCAACATCTCAATTACAACACGTAAGATATTGATTGTGCAGAACTCTTCAACAGAACCCCAGATGAAAACATCTGAACTTTCACTTTTGGTCTGATCTGACATACTGTTCTTTCAGCTTTAAACACTAACAGAAACCACTGAAAAACGGACTTTTGTCCTCTCAGTTGTCGAGTTTTTCATCGTTTCCAGTCCTGAGAAGCACGTGTACTTTTCATCATCTCACACACATACTCCACACGGAGCACAGACGGCTCCTAACACCCCTAACGGTCCCAACGTGCTACCTTTGTGAAAGCTCTCCTCTAACCACGACATCAAATAAACCCTCACGCCACAACATTTCTGCCCTTAATCTTCTCATTTCATCCTTCATCTTATGGAGCTGCGTTTCTGAGATTTGCACTTTGCTTCCTGTGCCCACTTCTCCCATTCATCCTCCACGTCTCCTTCAACTCCCCGTCACTTCCCTTCATGTCTGTCCTCCCTTTCATCTCTCACTTGCTCATTGTCTCCGTCCTCTCCGTTGCTGGGAGCTCAGCTCAGAGTCACTACTTCTGTGGGAACAGTGATGGGATCTGAGTTTATAATTAGTTGTCCTTAAGGGGGTGGGGCGTCCTCTACAGATGGCGGGAACATTTCATCCTGCAGGAACAACCGCCGGGGCGAATCACAGGGACGGACTAAACACAGCCTGCAGCAGCATGTGGCTACACAAACACTCAGGGTTATGAAACCGGTTTCATGTCTGCTTGACTTTACTCACTGTAGTTCCAGGTCGTTGTGCTCCTGAGGCAGGAACTTGTAGAGCGCTACGTAGGTGTGGATGGAGTGGACTTCAATGCGCTTGGGCACCTGGACACACAGAGGCTCGGCTAATGAGGCTAAACTACAGACGTTAAAAGTAAAGCAACAAAAGATGACTTTCACAGAGCACCACCTTTGCACAGGTGTCCTCCGCAGCTTGCTCACTGCTCTGGTCTTCCTCCTCTTGCATCTCGCTCTCTGGAACAGCGGGGTCTAGAAGGATGGGTGGGTTTTCTAAGAAGGTAGGAAGAAAGGCCCTCGTGATCACGCAATTAGCAACTTTTTTCTAGGCAGACACATAGAATTGCTCTCACACCGGCAGCCGTGCACATGCAGCACAAGCGTAGACATCACACATGCACTCAGCAGCGTTTACCCCCCGTCTCCTGAGTTATCTCCTCCTCCATGCTGCTCTGTCTCTGCTGCCTCTCTTCGCCTCCCTCCCCCTTAAAAAAAGGAAATAGAGGAAACAATAAAATATTAGCACCCGGCTGCTCTGCCGGTGATTGATTGGTTTGTCGTCATGGAGCAAAAAGACAAGTTCCAGATTTTTATTGATATCTGTTTGTGTTAAATGAAAGTGTTTTCTGAGCCAAGCAGCTCCGGTTTATGATATTAAATAGATCGTTATAAAGCTCCTCAAGCTCAAGCTTTGGGCTGTTTATTGTGCACACAGATGATTGGGACCCTCAGAGGTGCGGCAGATTAGTCTTGCCGTCTCACTTGTGTAAATATAATTTTCAAAAGGCCAAATAATGCTTTGAACTGAAGCGTTGCTTTTAATTAAAAGGGTGCCAGTGCAAAAGCACTGAAGCACTTCACGATACAAGTTTTGTCCTATGTGTGGCCACACAGCTTTTAATTAAAACATGCAAATTTTACATCATAATGCATGTTTCGATCAGGCACAGAGACCTACTGTATGTGTGACTTTTGGTAGCGGTAGATAAAATGAGCACAAATCAGTGAGAACAAAACGCATGGGGATCAATGGGATTTTAGCAAAACTCATGAAAACCCAGCTCCTTTTGGACATCCAGCAGTTATTGTCATGAAGTAAGTTTGTTTAATGGTTCAAAATCTAGTTTCATTTAAAAATGAACCCATTGGTGGGCTGAACTGAGCACACCCGTGGGCCTGATTTGACCTCCGGGCCGTCACTTGAATAGCCCTGCATGCAACTGTCCTCTACGCACATCCACAGGGTAACGATGTCATACCAGGCTGCGTGTCGGTGATTCTGATAAACTGCCAAAACTGGAACGGCTCATCTGTGCCAAGGACGTCCCGTAGCGCAAGGCAGCATACACAGGGTCTACACGCCTCCGCTCAGCCTCTGAAACCACACACACACACACACACGCATGTCTGAGTAAAAACACACACGTGAATTATTAATTAACTCCAAGCTTTTGCTTGAGACACGCCGCAATTAGGACAACATGCTGAGATAACGCTGTACATCATAACCGTTGTGGCTGTGCAAATCTGGTGGAACGCGGCTAAATATAACTGGAGTAACGCAGTCAGCCCTGAACCGAAGTGACCCACTTTAGTTCTGAACGGATACGGCAGCCAAAAGTTAAGAAGACATGAAGGCGTTCTGAAAACTCTGCCTCAGTTCAGCAGCTGTGATGTGTCTGGTAGTTTAGCAGAAAGAGAATACAAGATGACATCTAAAATTTGGGAAAGGTTTTTAAAAGTCCTTGTCGATACGTTTCATGTCTGCAGTGCTTGTGGCTGCAACGTTTCTGCAGCTGGTTCTTAAATTTTCTGCTCCATTTTTTCCATCCAGCTCAACGTAAGCTGAATGGAGGGCACGAGCGACTTCTCTTCAGGGGTGGATGTGCAAGTGTCTGTTCAGGGCGAAGGGATCGCAGTTTCATTTTGAAGTTAGCTCCTCTGCGCTCTCAAATCAGCACAAATCACATAAACTGAAATTTGGCCTCAGGACTAACCAGCGGAGAAGTAAATAAACTTTCCTCCTCTGCTTCTTGTATATTCTTATCTTCTTTTTTTTTTTTTTGCAGGCGGAAGCGCATCCATTCATTTTCTTTACTCGCTTTTTGCTGGCACCTTTCTGGAGTCGATGTGCGAGAGACGGGGGACACCCAGGACATGCAGGGACACAGACACACACTTTCGCGTTTTTTTAAAATAAGACTGGACATGACACAATTGGCTGATTGATGGATGAGAAACACGAGCGACATGGATGGTTTATTTAATATATATATATTTTAATGATTTAGCACCTGCAGCACCTGTGTGCAGCCCACAATTGCAGGGGGAAGCTTCCTCCTGCAGCCTGTCATGATCTCCTTCTCTGCCACACACACATTTCTCCTGCTGCATCAGCTGCTGTCCGGCTGTATCAACCGACTATTGTCTTCCAACTTAAAATTCAAAGTATGCACATCGTAAAATTGTCATAATCACAAAATATCAAAAGTTATTTTAAATTATTGTAGAACTTCTATGTTCATTTGTTACAGTGTATCAAGAAGTACATTTCTGCTCTTTGCTGCAGAGCTGCGTGAAGGGTTAACCTTTGATGTCCTGCTGCACTTCTCTTCTCTACAGTTTTATTCAAAATATTACAGTATTTAAATTTAAATTGTTTATTTACAAAGAAGGAGGAAAACTGGGAGTGAAACTTGAACTACTGTCTATATTTTACGGGTTTTCACTTATCACGGGAGGCATGGTTCCCTAATGATAAACGAGGGACTACTGTGCTGTACAGTACATATTCGTATGTTGTTAATATCACGTATAAGAATTTAGAACATTGCAAGAGT